AGACCATCCAGGCGCAGCTGCTGAGCACCCATGACCAGCCCTCCGTGCAGGCCCTAGCAGGTGGGTGACCTTTCCCTCTCCTGGTGGGGGCAGACTTGCCGGGGGTGTGAGGCCTCTGCTGTGAGGACACCAGGCCCCGTGGTGGCTTCTAAGTGAGCCGTTCCAGCGTCCATTCTCTCCCAGTTCTGGGTCCATGCTCACTGTGAAGGTTCAGGGAGAGCATCAGTCCCACCTGCCCCTGTGAGCTGCTGGTGTGGCCGGCAGTCTTTAGCTGTGGATGTATCCCTCCGTTCTCTGCCTCTGTCTCCACGGAGTCTTCTTCCTGTGTGTCTCTAAACATACCCGTCTGATTGGATTCAAAGTGTCTGGGTGGACTGCTAACCAAAAGGTCGGCAGGTCAAACCCACGCAGAGATAACCTCAGAAACAAGACCTGGGGGTATGCTTTTGAAGCCCCCATGGAACAGTCCCAGTCTGATACACATGGGGTCACCATGAGTCTATATTATCTCAGCGGTAACAAATGATGACAGAACAAGACAGTGGGTAAGGACCTTCCCTGAGAATTTCATCTCAATTCCACCTATGGAGATCCCGTTACAGTTAAGGGCATTTTGGCACATCTGGGGCAGGAGGACTGAGGACTTGGCCCTGCCTTTTATAGGGGACACGACTCATCCTATGTCAGGCTCTTTGGTGGATGTGCTGCTGATTCCTAACCATTGGGTACGAGCCGTGTGGTTTGGAAGCAGGTTTGTGGAAGGTTGAGGTCAGAAATCAGTGGGAACCAGACTGTCCAGGACCTACAAGGGTCTCGTAGCTAGAGACTGTTGTTGTGAAGTGCCGTTGAGTCGATTCCAACCCATAGCGACCCTGTATATAGGGTTTCCAAGGAGCAGCTGGTGAGCTTGAACCACTGACCTTGCAGTTCAAAGAGCTTTGCATTCTGGCGCCTTAGCTCACAGCACCACGGGATGGGGCGCCCCAAAAAACAAAAGACGAAGACAGTGTTGGAGCAGGCTCTAGACTTCTGTCCCGAAGAGTCTGGCTTTCCGCAGCTTCTCAAGGCCATCCTTGACCCCTAGTCTCTCTCCATCTTCAAAGCCAGCTATACTGCCTCTCTCTGACCATCATTCTGTAATTGCCTATCCTGGGTGGTCTAGCGTGTTATAAGTTGGTGTGCCAACGCAAGGTCAGCAGTTTGAATCTACCAGCAATTCTACAAGAGAAAGAGATTTTTCTGCTCCCATTAAGATTTATAGCTTTGGAAACCCTTTCCACGGCACATAAGTACCACCACCAATATTAAAATTAGGACCATCCCAAAGCCAAACTCACTGCCCTTCAAGTCAACTCCTAACTCACAGCGACCCTGTGTAGCTTTTTCTGCATCTTTACCGGACTTGACAGCCCCATCTTTCTCCTGCTGAGTGGTTGCTGGGTTTGAACTGCCAACCGTGTGGTAAGCAATCCAGGGCTTATCATATAGTACCACCAGTCACCTTACCTGCAGGACCCACCTTCACCAGCCTGGTTTTTTGAGAACCGAGTCCCACCTGGCCTTGTTGCTAGTTCCCAGCTGTGTTATAAATTGAGTTGATGGAGCAGAACATGCTCTCTGTCCAAGGAACAGGGCTTCCCTGGCCTCAGAAGCCACGGTTGTCAAGGAGTGGACTCCCTAGCAACTGGGACACAGCAAGAGGGTGGGCTTTGTTGCTCTCAGAGGCCAGCGTTGCTAAGTGAAGTGTATGCTGTTCAGAAAAACTATCCTTAAAAGGCCTTAGCAGCCCCTGGTGGAGCCGTGCTTAAAGCACTTGGCTGTTAACCGGAAGATTGGTGGTTCAAACTGACCAGCTACTCTGCTCGAGAAAGATGTGGCCTTCTGTTTCCGTAAAGAGTACGGCCTTGGGCCAGTGCTGCTCTGTCCTGTCTGGTCACTATCTGGAGGAACCCACGAGAAAGCCGTGGTTTGTCCTTTGTTCAAGGAACCCTGGTGGTGCAGTAGTTAAGCACTTGCCAAAAGCTCGGCGGTTCAAGCATAACTGGAGAGAAATTTGGCTGCTTCTGTGAAGGTGACAAGCTTGGAAACCGTGTGGGGCAGTTCTCTGTCCTATAGACTCTCTGAGTTGAATGGGATCTTCCAGGAGCCCTAGTGTTGCCCTGGTTAAAGTGCTTGGCTGCTAACCCACCAGCCCGTTCTACGTGGCAGTCTGCTTCCATGAAGCTGACTGCCTGGAACCCCTCTGGGGCAGTTCTCTGTCCTGTAGACTCTCTCTGAGTTGGACTCGACTGGACACCAGTGGATTTGGTTTTGGTTGAAGGGCCTTGAGCAGACCCCATTTCTGAGAACATGGCAGCCCCCACCCTGCACTAAGCAAGGGGCACAATGAGCAACTCCCACCTCCATTGCTAACTACATGGTGAGTATCCACGTGAATCCAGTCCCCAAAGTGTGGACTTGGATCCAGTTCCTCAGCTTCGCACCCCCTCATTTTCATCACCGGCTGGTCACATGGTACTCTAGCTCTGTCTCAGGCCCGGTCCCAGAGCTGGGTGGGAGCTCGCACAGTGGAAAGACAGCCCCCGCAAGCAGGCAGACATCAGCCCTGCTGGCTCTCTCCGCCCGTGTTCATGAATTCGCTGGAACGGTTCACTGTACTTACGGCGGTTGCTTTACTACAACCAAACAGGGGACAAGCGGAGAGGCACAGAGTAGACAGGGGACAAGCGGAGAGGCACAGAGCAGACAGTGCATTCCATTCTTTCAGCTTCTCTAAGCCACTCTAACTCCTTGGCTCCTCCTTTGTCTCCAAAGTTAGCAACATTGCCTCTCACTGTCATCCTGTTGTCGCCTCTGACCCTGACCTCAGTCAGGAAAAATCCCTTCATGGACATTTATGAGTAAGGTTGTAGGAAGCCCTAGTGGTACAGTGGCTAAGTACTCAGCTGATAACCTTAAGGTCAGTAGTTCTAATCCATCAGCCACTCCATGGAGAAAGACATGGCAGTCTGCTTCCAATAAAGATTTACAGCCTTGGAAACCCCAGGGGACAGTTCGGTTGTGTCCTACAGGGTCGCTAGGAGTGGGAATCACCTCAAAGGCAGTGGGGTTTTTGCCCCGTTAGACTTCATTGTCTCTTAAGAACGTCATGCTTGGGAAAGTGGAGGGTCAGCAAAAAAGAGGAAGACCCCCAATGAGATGGATTGCACAGTGACAGCAATAGTGGGCTGCAGTGTAACCACCATTGTGAGGAGGGTACAAACTGGGCAGTGTTTTATTCTGTTGTGCACAGGGTCGCTATGAGTCGGAACCAACTCCATGGCACCTAAAAAAAGACTTGTCAGGGACAACCAGAAAGTGCACTAGGCCCTCGGAACTTTTTGAGACCCCCTTTTTCCAAGGAAAGCTGGCCTTAGCAACCAAGGATCCCCAAAATACACAAACTCTTCCAGATCTAGGTCCAGTAGGCACACTGGGCCTTCTTATCTACCTTCCTTCCTTCCCCTTTATGAGTGAATGGGGGGAGGAACCCCAGACTCTATCTTGGAGGAATCCAGTCTTATAGGTCACTATGCCAAACAGGTAATCAGTGTTCTGGTTAATGTCTTAGGCCCTGTAGAAATTTCTAGATGACCACTGGCAACCGGTGTTTCAACTGTAGTCCCCAATAGGAAGTGGTCTGTTTGAGGAAGTTGGTCCCCACAAAAGGGAGGCTCTGTCAGGCTTACCTGGGAGGTTTCAAGACCCCAAATAACCAGCAAGGATTCCCCTCTAACAACCAGTCTAGCAGAAGGTAAGGAATTGTGTCTCTTGTCAGGGGCAAGCTGTCCCTCAGCCAAAAGTATTGGAACCAAAGTCTTCAAGACTTCTGAAGTCAGGCACACCCCAAGTTCCACTGTGCTAACCAAGCCGTGTTTCCAAAGCTGCAAGGGTTTGGGAGAGCTTAGGATGTGAGCCCCTTTTGTTCTCCAGAAGCTAAACTTTGTGTCAGTGTGTCTCTGTAACAGCCTCTGGTTCCTGATGCTTCAAGCCCTCACCTGGATGTTGTTAGAATGCATTTCTTTCCTGGGGCCATATGGTCTTGGGGGATACTGAGGCTAATAAGACCGCAGCTCTGCAGTCACGGGAATCGTCACCTCAGGCCCTGAAGTAGTGCAGCTCATCCAAGACTGCCTTCTCTCTCACAGATGAGAAGAATGGGGCCCAGACCCGGCCTGCGGGTACCCCACCCAGAAGCCTGCAGCCCCCACCCGGCCGCCCAGATCCAGAGCTCAGCGGTTCTCCCCGCCGAGGTCCCCCCAAGGACAAGAAACTCCTGACCACCAATGGGACCCCTCTGCCCTGACCCCAGGGGACCAGGGAGGGAAACCCCCTACACCCCCTTCCCTGCCCCCCAACTGTGAATCTGTAAATAGGGCCCAAGGAGTAAGTGGGGGGGACACAAAATCCGGCCTTGCCCTGCAGGGATAGGGCTTACAGGGCCGTGCCCAATGGGGTGGGGGGATCTAGGGGGAACTGGGGGCGGGGGAGCTCTTTCTATTTTATTTATTGATTAATTTATTATTTTATTTATTGATCAATCTCTCTGCGGGGTGGGGTGGGGGAGGGACGGGAGCTGGTTGGGGTGGCTTAGCAGATCCGGACAGGGCCGTCTGTCCCCAACTCCCCCCCCTTCCTGGCCCCCCCTTCCTGCCCCTGGTCTTTCCTCCCCCCTCCCCCCCCCCACGACATTCTGTACGGATTTGCTCTCCGGAAGGAATTCTGGTTTCGCGTGATCCTGCCTGCGTCCTTGTCTCTGATTCCGCCGGCGGCAAAAAAAAATAAATAAATAACCTTGATCAGGGATTGCCGGCTGGCCTGGGGCTCTCGATTCCTGGCCACAGGGCTGGCCTGGGGGCTCCTCAGCCCTGGAGGCAACGGCAGGACCACGCTACCATCCACGTTTCTAATCAGCTGTCCACGGCCTCACACATCCCCACTGGGCTCCAGGATGTGGAATGTCAGCAACAGCCGCCCTCCTCTCCTGCCAGCTGGACAGTTTCCCCGATGGTTCCTGGGGGCAGGTCTGGAGCTGAACTCTTCCTCGGCTGCTGACGAAGGCGCCCCCCGCTCGCTGGCTCATAATCCTGAGACAGCTGGACCTCCAGGGTGCTAGGGGAGGCCGCTGGTGGTGCACTGAGGCCAGGGGCAGACTGGAGAGACAGGGTGCAGCCGTCCAGGCAGGAGAAGTCCACAGCTAAGAGGCCAAAGAGAGTCAACAGCAGCATAGCCACGGCCCATTCGCAGGACGCAGAGGCAGAGCGCAGCGGCAGCCAGGAGTGGAGAACGACCACTTTACACCAGGGTTAAGGGTCTGCGTGGATGCCCAACAAACCACATGCACATCACACCCCAAGGATCAGGACCTAGCTTGGGTGCTATCTGAGCAGGGTTGAGATCTCACTGGGTAGCCTCCAGGGCTTCAAAATGATTCTGTCGTTTCCATGGTAAACAAAGTCCACATACATTTTGCACAACGAACGAATCTATTGCTCCCAGCATTTTTACCGGGGAGGAAAGGCGTAACCTTGCCGCCCTCAAAGAAGGTGGTGGCTTGCCCTGTTCAAAGATGGCCGCCATCAGAGCTGCTTTGAGTCTGTGAAGCTATGGTTCTAGACTCCTGTAGGTGATCCAATCGCCCACATTCGGTTCCTGAAACTTTCAGGAGGGAGGTCTGTGGCGGCACTTTTGGAGAGCAACCCATTCAAAGCAGAGAAGTCGGCCACCATCTTTGAGCAGCATCCGTAGTCATCTTTGAGCGGGTCGTGGCTGTCTCCTAGTCAAACCCAAACCAGACCCACAGCATCGAGCGATTCAGATTGGTAGTGACTTTCTATAGGGCCAAGTAGAACTGCTCCCCTTAGGGTTTCTGAGGCTATAAACCTTAACAGGAGCACACACAGCCTCATCTTTCTCCCAGTAGCAGCTAGTGGGTTTGAACAGCTGACCTTTCAGCGTCACCAGAGCAACTTGTTAGTTTCCCACTCTGATTTAAATACTACAAGCAACAGATACAGCTGCTATGCAACACGTACACAGCCCTTATTTACTATGGGAATTTTTAAACATGCTTTTGGTAGCCTCTCACCATGTTCTCTTGGTAGCCTCTCACCATGTTCTCTCTACTTTGACCAGGGTAGGGCGGGAGGTTGTAAACGGTTCATGCACTCAGCTGCTAACTCAACACTGGAGGTTCAAGTCCACCCAAAATTGTCTCAGAAGTAAGATTTGACATTAGTATCCCAGTTCCCTCTTCCCCAAATAAGTCCATCTTTCTCTCCACCACCTCCTCAGTGCCAGACAACCAGCGCCATCACTTCTATGTCCAAATCCTCAGGGTTTCCAAACAATGCCCCTGAACGTCAAGCCATGCTCATAACAGGCAATGGAAGTGATTAAGCACTCGACTGCTAGCTAAAAGGTTGGCATTTGTCACCACTCCTATTCAATGTTGTGCTGGAAGTCTTAGCAAGAGCTATACGGCAAGACAGGGAAATTAGAGGCATCCAAATTGACAAAAAGGAAGTAAAACTCTATTTGCAGACAATAGGATCCTATACATAGAAAACCCCGAAGACTCAGTAAAAAAGCTACTAGCCCTCGTTGGAAGATTCAGCAAAGTGGCAGGGTATAAGATCAACATACAAAGATCAGTTATATTATTCTATAATGACAGCATTGAAAAGGACATTAGGAAAACAATACCATTTACAATAGTCTCCCAAAGGATGAAGTATTAGGAATAAATGTAACCAGAGAAACAAAGGACCTAATACAGAGAAAGCTACAAAACACTACTGCAACATTCTTACAAAAGCGGAAGAATGTACCATGCTCCTGGATAGAAGACTTAACATTGTGGAAATATCAATACTGCGCAAAGCGATTTACACATATAATGCAATCCCAATCCAGATTCCAACGACATTCTTCAAAGAGATGGGAAAAAACTATTACAAACTTTATACGGAAAGGAAAGAGACCCAGGATAAGCAAAGCACTGCTTAAGAAGAATAAGGTTGGAAACCTCTCACTCCCCGATTTCAAAAGTTACAGTGGTCAAAACAGCTTGGTACTGGTCAAATGAAAGATACATTGATCAATGGAACAGAATCAAGAATCGAGAAATTAACCCATCCACATATAGCCAACTGATTTTCAACAAAGTATCTAAATATATCATATGGGGAGATGATAGTCTCTTCAACAGATGGTGCTGGCAGAACTAGAAAGCGATATGCAAAAGATTGAAACAAGACCTTTATTTTACTTCATGCCTTGTGGATTAAAGACCTAAATGTGAATCCCAGAATTATGAAGGCCATCAGTGAAAATATAGGGACAAATGTGAGGGCTCTAATTCAGGGCATACACAGACTACCAAACATTTTGAGAATTACACAAACAAAAGTAGACAAAATCGATGATTGGTACATACGAAAAATTAAAAACTTATGTGCTTCAAAAGACTTCACCAAAAGAGTAAAAAGGGGACCCACAGAATGGGAAAAATCTTGCAACGACACATCAGACAAGGGACTAATTTCTAAAATATATAGGATAGGAAACTACAACACCTCGACAAGAAAAAGACAAATAAACCCAATTTAAAAATGGGCACAGGACATGAACAGACACTTCACCAAGGAGGAGATCCGGGCAGCCAACAAACATATGAAGACATGTTCATGATCACTAGCCATTAGAGAGATGCAAATCAAAACAATGAGATATCATCTCACACCACCAATAACAGCAAAGATCAAAAACGTAGAGGACAATAAATGCTGGCGGGGATGTGGAGAGACTGGGACCCTCCTGCATTGCTGGTGAGATTGCAAAATGGTCCAACCTTTCTGGAAAGCAATATGGCGTTTCCTCAGAAGGTTGGAAATAGAAATACCTTATGATCCAACAATTCCTCTGCTTGATATTTACCCACAAAAAATATGAGCCATAACACGAGTAGATATATGCACACCAATGTTCACAGCAGCACTATTTACAATAGCAAAAAGATGGAGACAGCCAAAGTGCCCATCAACTGAAGAATGGATAAACAAGCTGTGGTACATAAACACAATGGAGTATTATGCTACCTTGAATAATAAGGAAGCTGCAAGCCACCGCATAACATGGATGAACCTTGAGGACATTATGTTGAGTGAAATTAGTCAATCACAAAAGGAGAAATACTGCATAGGACCACTACTGTAAAAGACTAAGGAAAAGAACCCATACTAAAAGGGGGGAAATTTTTTATTTCCTGCTTACCAGGATGTGTGGGATGGGGTGAGGGGAGGGAGGGGAAGGTGGAGCACAGTGTAGGGAATAGACACAGGATAGCTTGGGTGCTGGGGGTTGGGGGGAGCCACAATATACAAGAAGGGGGAGGGGAATGGGAGAACAGTTAGGCAGGTTTGAGTGGACTAAGTGGGACAGAGGTAAATAATGATGTATACACAACCTTGGAACAACAGGGCTCTGGGATACAGGGATTGAGGCATGGTTTAAATAGGTAAAAGAGGGGAAATAATGTTAACATGCTTGGCTGTCTTTTGAATGTTGGTTTCCCTTGCATTACATTATAAAGTAGACACTTGAGAAGGAGAGAAAGAAATAGCCAGAAATATCACCATAGAAAGCTTGTAAGTCCGTCTTCAACCTATAACTGATTGGAATACCTAAAATGGGGCTACAAATTGCCCAGTGAAGGAGGCTTCCTGTGAAGCCTTAGCATTGTGTAAGACCATAGGTGGAATACTGAACCCTATTCAGAATCTTCTGAGGCGGGAAATCTCCACTTGAAAGGACAAGCAGTCTAGCCAGGAGTGGCTAGAAGAACAAAAGATACTTCTTGCAAGAAAGACCGACAGGAAAAATCAAAAACAATATCGGCAGTCTGACTGACTACTACAAGAACAAACAAGTTGCTTGGCCAGGAGCCTTGAGGGCAAGTGATCAGGTCCCCTCAGGGCAAACACCCTTCCAAGACTAAAACTCAAGGGGAATACACAAGCAGGCATGTGATGTGACTGGTGACCATGTTGGTCACCGATAAGGGGAAGTGAAGGAAAAACAGCAATGAAGTTGTGAGCTAAGTCTGACCATGCTCAATAGACTCCTGTGAACCCGGGTGGAGACCTGGTTGGCCAGCAGTGTGGCAAGACCTGGGGACTCCTGGGCCCAGAGTCAGTGACATAACCACAAAGGTCTAAAGTAGAGAATGAAGCATCCAGTGATAAGAAGCAAGGGCATATGCACAAGAAGACCCACACTTGCAGATAGTACCCACTTGACCTGGCTTCAATGGCTGGATGATCGGAACTCATCTAGAAGAAGAAAGAAGAGAGAAAAAAGAGTAATCTGATACAATTTGATGAACTTGACCTACACCTATGGATGCAGTAGCTCAAAAGAGGGAACAAATCTTTACAGCGAGGATCATTCCCACCCCCTCCATACACAGAGTAGACAGGGATGGGCAACTTGGACATTGGCTACCCAAAATGGGGGGTGGGGAGAGGGCTACAAAGGCAAGAAGTGACTGGCTTACAAGTGTTCAAGAGGGAGCCTAGATCCAGAGGGCGCAGAGGAAGGTAGAATCTCCACTGAGTAGTATCCAATCTATCTGGATGGGGCTGATGAAAGGAGATGGGATAAGACTTTTGTGGTACCAGAGTGAATAATTGTTATCAGGATGGACTGTGTGGGTTGGAAATGTAAAGGTAGACATTTTGTAGCAAAAGGAGGGGAGTGGTTGACTTTACAGTCTAGGAGTGGAGGTCCCTGGGACCATCAAGAGAGAAGAGCAGAGTGCGGGACCTTACCCAGAGAAACAGTGATGCCAGAGATAGAGGCAGAGATGATGATGTGGAGAGATGGAGCAGCTGGGGACTCCAGACCCAGAGAGGGAGAGAGGCTGTGTGCTCATGACTCGGGGGCAGGCTTGCAGGGTATACCCTTTGGTTGTTTGATGATGCATGGAGGGGATTGTAATCATACAATGAAACGATATAGGATAGGATGAATGTAAAGCTAATATTCTACCATGTAAACTATCACATAATCCACAATAAAAACTTAAAAAAAAAAAGAAAAAAGTTTAGTAGTTCAAACCCATCCAGAGACGCCTGGAAAGACAGGCCTGAGGATCTTCTTCTGAAAGGTCCCAGCCTGGAAAACCCTATAGAGCAGTTCCACTCTGCACCTACGGGGGCGCCATGCGTCAGAATCCACTCAACAGCAACCGGTTTGGCTTGGTTTTGTAAAGTGGGAAGAACGTACCCTTCCATGTAGGATCAATGGAATGGTTTCATGAACCGGAGTCCTTGGATGCTGCAAATGGTTAATGTGCTTGGCTGCTAACTGAACGGGTAGGGGTTCCAATTGACCCAGAGGTGCGACAGAAGAAAGTCCTGGTGTTCTGCTTTGTAAAAATCAACTATTGCGTGTAAGCCCTGTGGAGCAGCTGTACTCTGCACACTAGGGGGCGCCGTGAGTCGGAATCTACTCCACAGCAACTTGGGGCCCACAGGGTCCTCTCGTGCCGATAAGGGATCGAATCTCTTTCTTCTATAATCTCCCCTTTTTCTGGGATCCCTGCCTCCAGTGAAAGCCCCAGAGGCCTTTAACACATCAAAGTGGACACTTGGGAGTCTCCCCCTTGCCTCCTCCTTGTCTACCTGTCACTGTGGAACTCCACCCACCTGGTTTATCCCATCCATTCCCTTCCAGGACCTATATAATTGCCTATGGGCTGTTCGTCTGTCTTTTCCTGCTTTTTCTCATGGTATTATTTACAGCACACCTCGGCGATGCGTCAGATTCGGTTCCAGACCACCTCACTAAAGCGAATATTGGCAATAAGGCATATCACACGAATCTTTTGCTTCCCCAGTGTACATGTGAAAGTTATGCTTACTCTACACGGTCATCCAAGTGTGCATATACCCGGATGGAAAAGGTTTAAATATTGGGACAATGACTAAAACTTCATGACGCAGAGCCACGAAGTCAGCACATGCTGTTGGGAAAAGGGTGACCATAGACTTGCTCGGACACACGGTTGTCACAAACCTTCAATTTGTATTTTTAAAAAGCTATAGCTGCAAAGTGCAATAAAACAAGGCCTGGCAGTGTTTTGCTGTTAGGCTTTCGAGTCGGTTTCGACTCATAGCGACCCTGAATAGGGTTTCCGAGGCTTTAAAAAAATCTTCACAGTAGCACAAAGACCCATCTTTCTCTGGCGGAACAGCTGGCGGCCTTGAACTGCGGACTTCGTGGTTCTCAGTCTAGTGCCTATGTATAAAGTCACTGCGTTCCCTATGTATGGCTATATTCTAGATCAAAAGGATGTTTGCCTTCAAAGCAAAGGTAATCAAGCAGGAAGAAGTAGAAAAAAATCCAGAGAAAAGAATTGGAGAGCCCAGAGGGGAAGTGAGGGGGCCGTATGCTGACACATTGTGGGGAAATGCAACCAACATCATGACACTCTTTATAAACAAACTATCTATTGGGAAACTGTAAACTTTCACCCAAATCCCAAGAAAAACTTTTAAAAAGTAAATTAAAAAGAAAAGAAAAAAACCTAATGGCTGTTTCAAAGCAGAACTCTACTTGAGCACAGAAGGAGACAGCTTTAAGTCGGAATCTACTTGAAGGCAACTGGCTTTCACTGGTTTCTGTGCCAGGCAGTGAGGAGACCTGGTGGATAAGCATTGGATTGCTAACTGCAAGATCGAAGGTTCAAACCCACCAGCCGCTCCTCCGTAGACAAATGAAGCTTTCTGCTCCATAAAGATTTACAGTCTTGGAAACCCTATGCAGAGTCTTCATGAGTTGGCAGTTGGAATCAGCTCAGCACAGAGGGTGCCAGGCAGGGGTGGGGAGGTGCCCCTCTCCCTCCCTCCCCTCTCTGACTCATGGCAACTCCGCGTGTTTGAAAGTTTTAGTTACTTTATAGAATTTTCTGTGTAATAACCCAAAACCCAATCCACTGCCAATCAGCCAGTTCTTACTCATATAGGGACAGAGTAGAACTGCTGCATATGGTTGCCAAGGCTGGAAATCTTTTTTTTTTTTTTTTTTTAACTTTTTATTTTAAATTGAGTGAAGGTTTACAGACAAGATCATCAGTTTTACATTCAACAAATCCTACACTTCGTTTCATCTCAAAGCGAGGCTGGAAGTTCGTATGGAAGCAGACTATCTCACCTTTTTCCCTAAGAGGTGACTTGAAACCACTGACCTTTGGCTACCATCCAATGCTTAACCCACTGCACCACCAGGGACCTGGCGATTGGAATAGACAATGTCTCAGGCAGACTGCATCCCTGGCCCCGTGGATCTTACAATGAGGGAAAAACACCAACCCCAAACGCAACTGTAAGAACTGATCCTGTTTGTCTGTTGCTCCCAAGCGCTCCATGGCTCCCTATTACCCCCAGGCAGAAACCCATGCCTCTCACCTTGGCTCTGGAGACCCTCACTCCCAGCCTGGTTTTCTACCCTCAGCACATACCTGGCCTGTCTCCACCTCCCCAACTTTCCAACCCAGACCAAAAGCAGCTGTATCTTCAAGACAAAGCTCTGAGTCTCCAGCTGCCAGGGCCTGTCTTCCTTAGAACATTTTAGGACCTTTCCTTATCACACTCAGCTCACAGCTGTTATGACCTACCACACCACCCACTCGCCTAAAAAGACAAGCAGAGGAGGGCTTTCTCTGGGATAAAAGGTCCCACAGGGAAGTATGCTGAGCTGAGGAGTTCCCCTCCAGCCTTCTGCCTACTCTGTGGGACTCAGTTTGCCACTCTGGGAATTGGGGTCACCATCTCCATTTTTTGCTGGGAAGTTTTAGATTAAATTGAGCCACTTTCCTTAGCCTCTTCTGAAAGTGTCATATGTCTTCCTCCTCTGCCTTTCTGTGAAGTACCGTAGAGTTGGTTCCAACCCATAGTGACCCTGTATAGGGTTTCCAAGGAGCAGCTGGTGAACGCTGACCCTGTGGTTCAAAGGACCTTGCAGTCCAGTGCATTATCCCACAGAGTCTCTAATAGTCCCCGAAGCTGAGGCCTCAGCTCTCTCCTCTCTTTCAGAGCTCTCCTACTCTCAGCAATATAGCGATTATGTTCATTAGCTATGTGAGCTCCAATGATAAAAGCAGTGAACTGGTTTTTTTTTTTTTTTCTTTTAATGGTTTATATTAATGTCCCATTTTACAGATGTGGAAACTAAGGTTCAGAAAGTGACCTGGATTCCCAGGAAACACCTTTCAGCCAAACAATAAAGTCTGTTGCCATCGAGGCCACTCTGACACATAGTGACCTTACTATAGATTCTGAAACTATACGTCTTTACAGGAGCGGACAGTTTCGTCCTTCTCCCCAAGGAGTGGTTGGTGGGTTTGAACACCTAATCCACAGCGCCATGAACAGCTGTGAGGAACGTTTTTTCTCAGAATAATCAACTATACGTGACCTGGTGGTGGTTGTGCGCCACGAAGTCGATTCTGACTCTTAGTGACCCTGTGTAGGGTTTCCAAGGCTGTACATCGTTATGGGAGCAGAAAGCCTCATCTTTCTCCTGCAAAGTAGCTGGTAGATTCGAACTGCTGACCTTGCGGATAGAAGCCCAATGTGTGCCAAGCTATGCCAGCAGAGCTCCTTGTATGTGTCATTCCGAAAGGGCAGTATTTGCCCCAAAACGAAGCTCTGAAGGCAGAGAGACAGGAAGAAGTGTCGCCAGAGCGCTCCCTGGAGGCCAGGATGACCAAACTGCATCTCTCATACGTCGGACATATTATCAGGAAGGACCAGTACCTGGATAAGGACATCATGCTTGGTAAAGTGGAGAGTCAGCGAAAAAGAGGAAGACCCCCAACAAGATGGATTGACACAGTGGTGGCAGTAATGGGCTCAAGCGTAGATATTGTGAGGTGGGCACCGGACCAAGCAGTGTTTCAGTTCTCTTGTGCAAAAGGAGTCCATACCAACTTTACGGCACCGAACAGCACCAACCAGCCTGCTCCTTGGAAACCCTATACAGGGTTGCTATGGGTCCGAATCGACTCGAAGGCACTTAACAACAACTAGAGATAAAATGGAAATGGGGAACCCAAGAAGGGAACGGTACAAGTGCTGTTCCAATGTGTGAGAATTGCTGAATGGAAAACTAACATGCTCTGTAAACTTTCACTCAAATCAGTTAAGAACAAAACAAAAGGAAAACCTCACAGAGCGCTTGTGCTCTGTAACAGAGTCCCCATGAGTCCGAACTGAGTCACCAGCGATAACAATGTGACATCTGAGTTTCTCAGTGATGTAAATGGTTAACTCACTAGTCACTCCTCGGAAACCCTATACAGGGTCACTATGAGTCAAAACACACTCAAAAGGTAACGAAAGCAACAAAGCTTGACCAAGCAAGATGTCCTTCTCCAGGGACACAAAGTGGCTAGCAGTCTAGTGCTTAATCATTGACACCACCCAGGAACTTCTTCACTCCTGACTACTAGGCTTTGCATGGGTAGAGACAGGGCCCAAAGACAGGAACAGAGCCCCTCCCAGAGCTGTCAAGGGGAGCCCCGGCATTGTGACACTAAGGACTTCTGACCCTGGAAATCTTTACGGGAACCCACAGCCTCATCCTTCTCCAATGCCCAGTGGAGAAGAGTCCCCCCACCCCCTGTTCCCAGTCCCTTAAGGATACTGATTACCATAAGGATGGTGCACATGGTGCAGAGACCCAGGCGGAACAGCCAGATCCAGGGAGGCCCGGGCTGCGGTAGGTTCCTCTTCCTCCAGGAGAGAAAGAGTTGCAGCCAGAAATAGAGGGTGCCCACGAAGAAGGCGAAAAAGGCACCCGTGAGATGGGTATGCCTCTGGTTCTTCTGCTGGAGTAGGAGACGGGTAAAGAGATGAGATGAAGAAGACTGTGGGGGGAGGAGGAGCATGATGGGAGGAAGGGGAAGGGGACCACGTACCAAACCAACAGCCTGTGAGGGAAAACTGCCAAGCCAAGTGGTCAACTTAGCGATTCTGTGCATTGGCTATGATAACTCCAGCAAGGCGATTAGCACCATGCCCAGAGCCAGCAGAGAAAGAACACCTTCCCCTAGAGTTCACGCTCAGACTTCTAGCCACCTAAACTGCAGTGTAATAAATTTCTGTTTGTTTGATAAAAAAAAATTACAACCTAGGAAATCCTATGGGGCGTTCTCTTCTGTCCTTTATGGTAACTATGAGTTGGAGTTGATTCGAAGGCAACCAACAGGAACAAAGAAAATGAAAAGATTCAGGAACACTGGAGTAAACTAAATAAATGAACGGCTATACAAACAAGTTGAGAATGTTTAATGAACAAAACAAAACAAAATCCCAAACCTACTGCCATTGAATCGATTCTGACTCAGTGACCCTGTAACAGTGTTTCTGAGGCTGTAAATCTTTGTGAGCAGAAAGCCTCATCTTTCTCCCAGTATGCAGCTCGTGGGTTTGAACTGCTGACCTTGAGGTTAGCAGTCCAGTGATCATCCTATAGTCAGTCCCTCTAGGACTCCTAATAAATAAACAAGTGGGAGTTTATTGTCAGCCAGTGGGCTCCTTCTCCTTTATTTCTCTCAGGTTCAGAATCAGTTGTTGTTGTTGTTGTTAAGTGCCATCGAGTCGGGTCCGACCCATAGCGACCCTGTACAGGGTTTCCGAGGGTGTAAATCTTTACGGGAGTAGAAAGCCTCATCTTTCTCCCGCGGAGCGGCTGGTAGTTTCGAACCGCTGACCTTAAGGTTCGCAGCCCGATTCGTAACCACTACGCTACCAGAGCTCCTTTCAGAATCAGAGGCAGTATAATAAAAATAACAGACAGTATGTCTCCTGTCAGCTGTCCATTCACTGATTCTACAGCTTTCTACCAGCTTCATAGTCAGAAATGTGCAAGAAGCTTGTCCTGGAGTCTGTGTGGTCACTAGCCAGTTGCCCTTACTCATGGCAACTCCATGACCAACAGGACAGACCACCATGACCCCTAGAGTTTTCATTGGTTCCTTTTCAGAAGTGGCTCACTGTGTTGTGTTTCTTAATCAGGAAGCTCTGCTGAGCCCTTTTATCAAATGTTGTCATTGTTGTTGTTAAGTGCCGACGAGTTGATTCCGACTCATAGCAACCCTATATAGGGTTCCCGAGGAACGGCTGCTGAGTTTGAACTGCCGACCTTGCAGTTCAAGCAGACCTTGCAGTCCAGTGCATTATCCCACAGCGCCACACCAGGACACATGCAAGCCTTGATGATGGATGGGTGGTGGATGGGTGGGAATTGCGCATGGGGTGCATTGGCTGGGAGTCGAACCCCGGTCTCACTCATGGAAGGTGAGAATTCTGTCACTAAACCACCACTGCCTCCATGGATAAAATTAAAAACAAAAAACAAAACATTTCTCTGTAAGATATGGCCAAGAGAAGGGCCTACCCCAGAGTGCTTGTGACAGAGAGTGAATTTAATACCTGTAGTTAAAACTTAACAACTGCCTACAGGGTGAAGAGTTCCATCAATGGAGAGGATCCCATGCCAAACATTAATCATACATGAACAAACTCCGTCATTTCACCATTAAATAGGGGAGACAACAGAAAATTATTCCAGTCTCCTAGGGTTTGGGCGGGTACGGGCATACCTCTTTTTATTGCGCCTCACAGATAACTCCGTGGTGGTTTTTTTTTTCACAAATTGAAGATTTGTAGCAACCTTGAGTGGAGCCAAGTCTATAGGCTCCAGTTTCTCCAACAGCATGTGCTCACTGTGTGCTCTAGCATCACATTTTAAGTCATTCTCACGATATTTCAAACTTTTCTATAATGCTTAATAGATTACAGCATAGTGTAATCATAAGTTTTCTATGCACTGGGAAACAAACAAAACCACGCGATTCGCTTTATTGCAATGGCCTGCAACGGAACCTGCAATATCTTCCAGATACGCTTGTAATTTATACAAAGTGCCACAAATGAACTACCAGCCCCAGGAGTCCATGCGTGGAAGAGTCCCTAAAACTAGATGCCTATGGTCCCAAGGGCTCCTGGGAGTTGTAGTCCCAGGAACTGGCTGGCTGGCCCCCTGTATGGGCCAAGTGGGTAGTCACTCTGTCTTACCTGGAAATTGCCAACCACGGAAGCTCCCAAGGCACTGAGGAGACCTGTCCACAGGATCAACTGGTTAAACCACCTTTCCACTCCCCAGTTCTGGAGCTGGTGGTAACGGAGAATGCAGATCCAGGCAGCTGGGAAGAGAGGGAGGAGGGAGGGAGAACCAAGCCTCCAGAGTCCAGAGGTCAGGGAAGGAGTGGGGATCAAGTTCTCAGATTCTGGAAAAGGAGGGAACTGGGGAGTTGGATTACTAGGTCTGAAAGAGATGGGGCTGGGGTCGGACATTTCTTGGGGAGGTCCTGAGTCTGAGGAAGAAGAGTCTGGGGTCCTGCGACTGAGGGTGGTGAGGGTCCGGGGATCCTAGACCTGAGGGTATAGGGGTCTGGGGCTCCAGGTCAGAGGGTGGAGGGGCAGGGGCTAGCTCTGAGCTTTAAGAGCTGGGAAATAGTTACCCATTGCAGCTCCCATATTGAGCACCTGACTGAAGATGCAGCTCTGAGGGGGGTAAGATCCACAGAGACTGGGGAAGATAAAGGGTCATCTATGAGTCCTTAGAGCCAGGACCCCTTCCGGTTCATCCTTCCCAACCCACAGCTATCTAAATACCTGATGTAGGGGAAGCCTTCCCTGAGGTCCACAGATTTGTTGGCCACAGCGATTGCAAAACTGAGGCAGTAAAGAGTTTTCTGTTACTCATCCTCCCAGGGCACAGAAATCAGGAATTCCAACCCCAACTGCCCCAGGCCAGAAGTTCAGGATCCCAGGCCCCCAGCCCTTCTGCCTCAGACCCAGGAGTCCTGACCCCCAGCCCTTCCTCCTCCCTCAGACCCAGGAGTCCTGACCCCCA